CCAGAGGACCGCACAGGCGGGGGCGGGGGGGCAGGCACCGGGGCCGCGCAGGACCTGGGGGGGCCGCAGCCTTTTGCATGCTTTGATTGTCATTTGTTGATTAGAAATAATTATTGAGAACATTTCTTTAGTATAACTTTTGCTTCTGTTAAATAATCCTCTTGGAGCTATCAATATTGCTGAGTTAATTGAAGGAAAACAATGTGTTGTTTATCTTGCTCTAAATTCATGGGAAAGATGTGATTATTTGAATGGGGGCGCTTACTTTTTCTGCAAAGGACCAGTCAATATTATCAGCTCTGTGGAAATACGTGTCTGTACTAGGTCGTAGTTTGCAGGCCTCTGGCCCAGTTGTAGTTAGGGACCCCAAATGAGTAAGCTCACAGGGACAGAAACGGGCTCGGCAGTCTTGTGGAACAGCAGGTGGAAGTCAGGGGCACTGGTCTGAGGGAGAAAGACTGGACGGGTGGATGGCCACGTCCAGCCTGGGGTTCTGGGACGCTGTCACACTGCCGTCCTGGGCCTGACCAACAGACCCACGCCCACCCTCCTTACATGGACCATCCCATCTTTGTTCTCTAGTTACGGTAATTGGTGGCCAGAGTATCAGACCACCCTGCCTGCCAGCCTCATTTGGTTCATCTTTCTAAACTCATTCTTTCGGGTGCAGTTCTCCAATTCCCCCCATCTCCCAAACTCTGTGCCATCTGCAGTTGACACAGGAGATTAATGAACTTTCTCAGACTTTTTTCCCACATAGGGTATGTGTGTTCCCTGGAGAGACAGAGAGAGAGACATTGAGAAATTAACCCCTCGGGTTTAGCCATACTGCAATCCCTTCTCTTTCATTCTCCTCTTGAGATTTAGGGCATGTACGCACACATGCCCGGTGTGATTCTCAAGCCACCAGGTCTGGGACTTGAACATGGTCAGCCATAGGAGAGTCTAGTGCTTTAACCACCACACCACCTACTAGCCCCATTTTCTAAGATCTCTGACCATGTCGCTAAGTTTCTGCTTCAGTTCATTGACTTATCTTACATCTGGCTCCTTCATTAGGACTTTTTCTCTGTAACTCAGAAATGTTGACTGTTTTTTCAGAGTATCTTTCTCAGGGCCAGGAGTAGAACTGGAGTTTTTCTTGCTTCTTCCTACTTTGACAATTTTCTTTGCCCTGCTTGTTAGAGGTCTGTTTTACTTGGCTAATTCTCCTCCTTTCCCCCTTCCTCCTGTTACTCATCGACTTCGGATCAGTTTTATTGATGACTGGAGACTCTAACATGTGGCCAAGTCTAGCTGTCAAACCCTAGTCCCAACATCACCTGGAGGACTTCGGCTTCCGCACTGGCAAACCACCCAGTGACCTGGAATTTCAACTCCTGACCTCCTTTCTGCCAATGAACCTCTCTTCCAATACGCCTCATCCAATCACTTTCATGGCCATGCCCAGATGTTATGTCACCATTACTCCACGTCCATAATCAATCATTTAAACATCTCATTCTCTCAGTCCCAACCCACCATCAAGCGTATTACTCCTTTATTGAAATACCCCCACAGTGACCTTTGTCTTGGGTAGCTTTCTTAGCTGACAACAATTAATTTTAGCTGGTGTCAGCAAGCAGGAAGGGCTTTTTCAGGAGAATTAGAAAAGTATAGACTTGTTCAAAGATTCCTTTTAGTGGGAAATGGCAATTAGAGTTTGAGGTTTCATTGAAACCTTTCTCAACCGGAAAGGCCTTTCTCATTGGCCTTTGAATGTGATAAAATCTTTTCAATTAAAGAAAATACTGCTTTCTAAAACCATGTCCCTCTGTGGCTTCAATTCATTTTTCTTCTGCACCTCCCAGCTAAGTTGCTCAGAAAAGGTTTTGCATTTCTTTTTATCCATTTCTTTCCATCTCATTAACGCCTTGACTCGTTCAATCTGACTTAGGCGTGATGGTGACAGCAAAGCTGCTGTTGCTGGTGTGTGCACCATGGACGCTGGTTCACCTGCAGATCCACCTGGGATGGTTGGGGGTTCCCATCTGGAGGCCCCCCAGGGCCGTGTGCATGCCCATGACAGGAGGCTGGTTGAGGTAAGGGGGTGCCCTGACCCAGTCAGGGAGGTGCAGAATCTCGGCCCGGATCTCTCTGTGTTCCTCACTTATGGGATAAATCGATACATTTAAAAAGGTACTGGGACTGGTGTATTGAGGTAGCACCCTGGAGCTAGACGTCGTGGGCGTTTGTAGTCAACGTCCTGTACCTCTCAGAGCTATCGCGGGGGTGAAAATGTCTTCCTCTCTGCAACACCTGCTTCTTTCGCTTTGTGTGACTTCGTTTCCTCTCACCTTCCTGGCAACTCTCTCCTGTCTCTTGCGGCTTCACCCCGTTTTCTGGGCCGTCAGAACTGACCTCAGTGTGCGCCGTGCTCTCCTTAGGAACGTCCCCTGTGAACTCAGCGACAGCGGCCTCATGGCCTCACGGACACTCCCGGGCCTGCTGTGCCCTGGACTCCCCGCAGACTTGGGTGAGCTGCGGCTTGAACTTCTGATTTCCTGAAGGCGTCTCACAGGGAACTCACGTCCAGCCCCAGTGCGTGTTCTTTGTCTGTTTCCTCGTCGGTGAATCAGACCATAATCCGTAATGTACCCTGCTCTCCAGTGAGAACCCACAGCCTCACATGCACCTGATCCAGACCCTACCGCAGCTGTGGGTTTCAGTGCAAGTCCGTTTCCCACTCACCGATGGCCGCCTTCCTTCTTCCGGGCTCCACCCTGGCTGCAGCAGACCAGCATCCTGGCCTCTGGTGGATAAGAGCACTTCTCTGCTCCCCTAGACGCTCCTTCCCGCAGTCAGGGAGCCGCTCCTTACCGCAGTCAGGGAGCCGCTCCTTACAGACCCGCAGCTCTGACTGCGCCGCAGCCTCTGTCCAGACTCCCAAAGGCTCTGGGCTGCCCTTAGGATGAAGGCTGCGATGTGGCCCCGGCTCTGCTTCTCTGCCCGAGGGCCTGGCTGCCCATGCGGGCTCTCACACCAGGCCCTCCTCCGCTTCCTGGCTGGCCTCCTCATTACACTCCTTCGAAGCCTTAGGACCCTTTGCATCTGTGACCCCTTTTGTCTGGGGTGCCCTTTCTTCTCCTTTCTGCCTGGTCATCTCTTACCAGTTACACACACACACACACACACACACACACACACATTTGTTAGAGGAAATGTGTGCTTGCCAGGGCGAGAGAGAGAGAGAGAGAGAGAGAGAGAGAGAACATGAGAAAGCAGGGCCCGGGGATGGCCAGGCTGCAGGCCCTTCTCATTCTCCTTTCAGGATTTTGGGCACTTGTGCACATGTGCCTGGTGTGTGTTTTTTTCAAGTCACCAGGTCCA